GGCGTCCTTGTTGTATGAATGTGTATCTTTTGGATATATGCCTAAGATTGGAATTGCTGGATCTTGTGGTAGACTGATTCCCATTTTCCTGAAGAACTACCATACTGACTTCCAAAGTGACTGTACAAGATGGCACTCCCACCAGCAGTGGAGGAGTGTTCCTCTTTCTCCACATCCTCTCCAGCATAAATTGTCATTATTGATTTCCATTTTAGACATTCTGACAGGAGCAACATGGTATCTCAGAGTTGTTTTCATTAGCATTTCCCTGATGGCTAAGGATAGTGAGCACTTTATTATGTGTTTTTCAGCCATTTTAGATTCCTCTATTGAGAACTCTCTAGTTTTTAACCCACTTTTTCATTGGATTATTTGGTGTTCTGATGTCTAGCTTCTTGAGTTTTTGTTATGTTTTCAAAATCAGCCATCTGTCAGAGGATGGGTTAGTGAATATCTTCTCCCATTCTGTGGACTGCTGTTTTGTCTTCTTGACTATGTGATTTGCCTTACAGAAAAGTCTCAGTTTCAGGAGGTCCCATTTATTAAATTGTTGATCTTAGTGTCTGTGCTACTGGTGTTATATTCAGGATGCAGACTCATATACCAACTCGTTGGAGGGTACCTCCTACTTTCTCTTCTAAGAGTTTCCATGTGGCTGGATTCATGTTGAGGTTTGGTATATTTGGACTTAAGTTTTGTGCATGGCAATAGAAATAAATCTGTTTTTTAAAGACAAGAAAAAGCAATCAAACAGGTGGAAGAAACAATTCACAACTAGAAAATTTAAAGAGAGGTAATTAAGAAAACATAAACCAAGGGAATTCAGGAAATGGAAAATATGGGTAAATTAATAGGAACTACAGATACAAGCATAACCAACGGAAGGCAAGAAATGAAAGAGAGAATCATAGGCATTGAAGATATGATAAAGGAAATTCTTACATGAAAATTAAATGACACAGAGACCAATGTTGGGGTTCAAACTGAAAGTCAGAGAAGCAAAGCAACTGGCCACTAACTTCTCACATCTTCCTCAGGCTGAATGGGCCTGTCTCCATTAGCTCTCACCTAGCCTCAGACTGTAGCCTATCTTAAGCATAGCTGGAGAAATTTTTCCTGTTATTTGTTGTCTTCTTTTTGTATTAGGCAAAAATGGGAATTGTAGTGATATGTTATTTATGATTTATTAAACTTGACTGAGGATTTATAGAAGCAAAATCAGCCTCAATCCATAGAAATCATGCAGTGGTAGGGCACACCTTTAATCCCAGCAGTCAGAAGGTAGGAGGTTGTGGCACACACCTTTAATCCTAGGACCCAGGATTAAGAGGTAGACAGACCTCTGTGAGTTCAAGGCCACGCAGATCCACACAAGAGTAAACCAGGCTAGTTGACATCTTTAATCCAAAAATTAGGGAAGTGTATAAGACAGAAGCAAGGTCTCAGACAGGCATAAGTTCTCCAGCCACACTGAGGAGAGGCAGTAGTTTGAGACTCAGTGAAGAGCCTCATGTTCAAATGTTTATTAGCACTAGTTAGTCTTCATATTTTAATTAAGTATTTGAACTGTTAACTGCAGACAGAGTTTCTGTCCTTTCTGGTCCCTCCAACCTTCAGTCACAAATAAACTCACTGAAGCTCATTATAAACTTTTTGGCTTATGGCTCAGGCTACATATTGGCTAGTTCTTTCTTAATTATTAACCCATTTCTACTATTCTAAGTATTTCTGTGTGTGGTCTTGGCTTACCAGAGAATCCCTAGACCTGTTAATCCTTTGGTGGCTACATGGCATCTCTCGGGCAGTAGTCTTTGCTTCTGTCTCCACAGAATTCTTCTTGTCTGGTAGCCCCATCTATCTTCCTTCCTGGTGACTGAACTGTCGGTATTTTATTCTTCAACCAATAAGAGAGGCATGTATTCACACCATAAAGAAGGACCTCCCCACCATATCCTCTTTTCTATCTCAATAAGAAGGAAGGTTTTAACTTTATCATAGTTAAATTATATATAACAAAAGTTAATAAGCAAGAATCATAGTAGATCATTGTTTACCATGGTATAAGAATGAAATTTGGGAGCCCATTCCACATGAAGGGATGCGCTGTCAGCCTGGACACATGGGGGATGGCCTAGGCCCTGCCCCAGAGGAAATGACGGATACTGAAGATCCCCCATGGAGGGCCTCATCCTCCCTGGGGAATTGTGTGGGGATTGAGTCATGGGCTTGGGTGGGGGACTGGTGGAGGGCCAAGGAGGGAGGGGTGAGAGAGGGAGCTGGGATTGACATGTGAAGTTTTCAAAATTTTTATAATTAAAAGTGTTAAGCAAGAGTTATAGTTATGATATTTAATTCATCAACATTTAGCAAAATTTAAAGAAAAACTCTATCATCTATCCTATCTTTGTGAGTCTCAAGTATTAAATGTACCATACTGTACATATATTTCTAATATTGTTTGAGGTATTGTACCTCTGTAGCTTATTTTACAATGTTATATAAATCTCTAGTCCTTGGAAGTTATTATTATCAACTATTGAGATTATAAGGAAATGTAGTTCAATAATTAGTCAACTGTTACAATCAAAGTTGTAGTCACATCAGGTGTGCTTACAAGGTCAAACAGATAATTTAGAAAGAACATCTCCAAACACTTCAGAGATCTACTAAATATGGCTTTTAACATGTGTTAATAACATAGGGATTTTTTAATGACAACGAAACATGTCTGGCAGCAGCCATCTACATCAGAGAAGATGATGGGCATTGGAGAAACTCCACATGGAGTTTACTTTCTTTGTGGCAAAGGTAAGCCATGGGGCAAGAAAGTGACCTTGCCTCAACTGCTGACAGTATGCTTTCCAAATTGGACAAATAGGATATCAAAAAGTGTGACTGCAAACCTTGCCAACTCAAGGAGGTCTAGTCTGTCAGATTATCCTGGTTTATAGAAATGTCTGTCAGATACAGTAGGCCTGTATGCTGAAGACAGATGCCCCATGTTGTAGAGCAATCCTGGGGGACTGTCCAGACACCAGCTGTTTCTGTCATTTCTCATGTATTTTGGAAGCTGCTTGTTCACACTTTCTCTTTACTCAGTTAATATTATTTCCTTCTCAGGTCTCTGAGGGAGTTGAAGACCTTGTTTACCAGATTCAGTAAAGAAATGTACTAAAGATTTGCTAAGTGTAATAGGTTTGAAAGACATTAAAAGATAATTTGATACTGCAAATTAGAAGATAAAGTAAATTAGGTACAAGACTTTGGGCTGATCAAGAAAGAATAGATTATAGAGTATTTTCTCTGAAATGCCTAATGATAATGGACTAAGTATTGTTAATGTATTTACTGCTTGTATATTTTGTATACACTTACTGTACTTATTGTATATAGTTTTTATGTTAGCTATAAATATTCTAAAATAATTTTAGTCAAAAAGGAGGATATATAGTGAGACCTGGCTTGTACAAATAAGCCCATATTAAGGATCAAAGAATGGAGCTTGTCACTAGATAATCATAGAGGTCTGGAGGTCTGTACAGAGAGACAGGAAATGAAGTAGCTGGTCAGAAACAGGACATAAGCAGGGAGAAACAGGAACTCAATTGCTTGTCTGCTGAGACACTCAGGAAGTAAGTTGTGGTGATGGTTTGCTCCTTCTTTCTGATCTCTCAGCATTTTCCTCTATATCTGTCTCCAGGTCTGTATTACTTATACCAATAAAGAACCCCATTTATGGCTAACCTCCAAGTGTGTTATATATAATTAAACAAATCACACTGTCCATTCATTAATTCTATTTCTTGCTTGAGCATCTAGTGTTCCTTTCTTTTTTATTATTCATCTTTGTGAGTTGATGGTTTTCTCATAGCTATGCTACCTTGTAAAAGCACAACTGAATGAAATATTTGGGTATGTATATAAGGTAATTTCCAGAAGGAATTAAATTCTCAGTTCTCCATGATGTCAGGGTGTCTGCAACATGTTCCCATCATATAAAACCCTATAGACCTTGGTAGCACTGATGGATACTATGCCTTCAAATCATGCAGCAAAAATATATCTATAACACTACAGTTTGGTTTTGGTGAAGGATTTGGTGATAAATTGGTTTTTATAATCAAAGAATTACTCATGAAAATGCCTCTTAAAATGTTGTGACAATGTTTAGCTTCAGCAGAATTTCAGAGCACATGAGAAGACATAGACATATTGCATGTTCTTATGCAAGACCTACATGGGCAATCTTACAGAAATTGGTGACCTCAGGAATGGTGGTCATGGTGTCTCCATGAGAGGAGGAAACATAGATATATATATTCACCTACTTCTCTGGGCCTTTGGGTGCTAAGATTCTGATAACAAGCTATTCAACTACTTCTTGGGCTTATGAAAGGCCAGTAGACAGATTAGTTGAACCACCTGGCTGTGTTACCTGATGATATCATTCAGGTCAGTGTGTTCAACTGTTCACATAGTGACATGTGTAAGAGCAGACTCTAGTCTATTTGCTCCACAGAATTTCTGTTAGTCAAGTAATGCACACTGTCAAGCTATTTTAGAAATCATGTGTAATTGAATATGGTGGTTAACATTCTTACAAAAATTCTTGAAAATAATAACCATAAAATACTTGCAAGCTATTTAATTACTATAATTTAGTTTCTGCGTTGAGAAGAAATTTCAGACTAACTTCTCACTAACCGGTGTTCTTTTTATTATTCAAATATCTTATTAGAAATAGAAGAGTTATGCAAACAGGTCAGTGACTCCTAAGTTTGCTTCATTGCAAAACATGTGACATTAAACACCTGTATGCAAATATGAAATAATTAATATTTGCTTTTACTATCTCTATTCATCTCACAAGTTCAATGTGGTCATTTAGTATATTTGGTTTGACCAACTCAGGTTATATTTTAACTCATTGCCTTTTTTCTTGTTCAATATAAAGATAAGCAATCACAGAAGGGAACATACTATGAACAGAGGACTTTGATTTTCCAGGATGCCTGTGACAGTGGATGTCTCTTCTGCTGCTCCTATTGGAAATGACTTGCTACTTCAGATCTGGGAGTTGTGGGAAGGTGTTGGTGTGGCCAATGGAATACAGTCACTGGCTGAATCTAAAGATAATACTGGATGAACTTACAGAGAGGGGTCATGAAGTAACTGTTCTGAGACCTTCAGCCTCCATCTTTCTTGATCCCCAAAAGTCACCTAACCTAAAGTTTGAGAGTTTTCCTACATCTATCAGTAAAGATGATCTGGAAAAGTCTTTCCTAAGGCTTGTGGATATATGGATTTATGAGGTATCAAGAGATACATGTTTATCATACTCGCCTTTGCTAGAAAATTTGTTTGAGGAATATTCTGACAGTTATCTAAGTGTTTGTAAAGACACAGTTTCAAACAAGCAACTGATGGCAAAACTACATAAATCCAAGTTTGATGTCCTTGTCTCGGATGCCATTGCTCCCTGTGGGGAGCTGATTGCTGAACTGCTCCACATTCCTTTTCTGTACAGCCTTCGCTTTTCTCCTGGCTACAAAGTGGAAAAGAAGAGTGGAGGATTTATAGTCCCTCCCTCTTATGTACCTATAATTTTGTCAGGATTAGGGGGTCAAATGACATTCATGGAGAGGGTAAGAAATATGATATGTATGCTTTATTTTGACTTTTGGTTCCCGCCATTTAATGAGAAGAAATGGGGTCAATTTTACAGTGAAACTTTGGGTAAGTTACGTTTCTTATCTATAGCTTAGTGACCAAAATTTCACAAGTATTTAAATCTATCCTTACATCTGTGAAACACAAAGTGAGAGTTGTCTTTCATAGGCGAACTAATGTAATATGATATTTACTCACAAACCCTGTAAAAGCTCATACTATTAATCAAATAGAAGCAAAACAGTTCTAATACAGGACATTCTGGTGAGGTATATAGTTGCACAGAGATGCAAGAAGATTTTTTACTAATTTTACTGTAATTTTCATATATTTTAAAAATCATCAGCTCAGTAATCAAATCTTGGTTAATATAGATTAAAGCATGGCATATTTTACAATTCTAATACATATATATATATTAAAGAAATTATTTTCTCTTTCATAGGGCACCTTCTTTACTTAAAATTAAAATGTGGTGTCTGAAAACATGTTCAAAAAGTTAAGAGTGTTTTCTGTTCATGTGGAATGCCTAAGATCTATCAGTAGCACCCTCCCAGGTATGGTGACTCCCTTTAAGTCTGCTTAAAGGGTCTGCTGCCCTTTAAGGTCTCTGTGGTCACCAGAATAAACTCAGCATATACTGTCACTGACACACACATAAACAAAAAGATAAATCATAAAGCACTTTCTGTATGTTTCCAGAATAATTCCTTTATGCTTGAAAATTACTATGTTACTTTACAAGCTTAAACATGGAACTGCTGTTGCTATTAACACCACATTCCTTTATTGTGCATTTCCTAGCATCCACTGTTTAAGCACTACAGAAGCATAGGTACATATGCACTCAGTCTTTTCCTTTTGAACACATGTTTCTTTTTAACTTAAAAAATATGCCATAGTTAAGACTGGTCAAAAATTTATAACATCATAATTTCTGAAAATGCTGTGATTGTTTTTATAGAATAAGTGCTATTAAATTTCTTAAAATGAAACAAAAATAGAAGCACGATCCAGAAATTCAGCCATTCATAAATTATACAGCTCTTTCGGCAAAACAAGGAAGAAGGATTAGCTACACACTACAATGAACCTGGGGAAGTCTGGCCAGGCTATGCAGCATGGTGTGTCTTTGAAACTAGAATGTGTATTTATATTTGCACTGTTCCTTTAGTAGACTTGACGAGGAGAAAAAAATGTGTGTTTATTCATATAATGGCTTAGTGGGTCATTACAATAACTATTTATTATCTTAAATTACTGAGGAAACATGAGGTAATTCTTACCATCTACGTCAAAAATAAACCCAAACTGACATTTATTTATATTATGTGACCCACAGTTCATTTGCACATGGAAATTATGTTAAATATCAATTAAAATTGGTTTTAAATGTGCATGTTCTACATCAAGTATAAATTCTTCCAGCATTTTTAAGAAAATATTTATTTTATCATTAGAAGACAATCCTGTCAACTTTTCAGTTTCTCATTTGCTCACTTTCTGCATCTAGGAAGGCAAACTACCTTAGCTGAGACATCAGGCAAAGCAGAAATGTGGCTCATTCGTTCCTACTGGGATTTGGAGTTTCCTCGCCCAACCTTACCAAATGTTGACTATGTAGGAGGACTCCACTGCAAACCTGCTAAACCCTTGCCTAAGGTAAATACATTTAAAAAATCTCTTTCCCATTAATTTAATCTCTGGTAAAAGTGATTCTACATCTTTCATTACATTTGTTACCAGTGATAGATATATAGTGGAAGTGGGATTCAGCATCCTGCTAAATAGGCTGCCAATAAACCCAGGAATGAAAGGGATAGACCTAGGAAATATTCCTATCAGTGAGTTAATTAAGTCAGTTAGGGTACTTGGGCAGTTAGTCATTGGGTAATGTCCTTACCGAGCACTTATAAGGATCTAATTTTGAATCCCAACACCCTTGTAAAACAATTGGGTGCCCCAACACAGTACTATGACATTAATACTGAGGATGCAGAAAAGGGTTGATACTGAGAGATTGCTGGCCAGTAATCTGTTAAAAATGTTGAGATTTGTGCTCTGTGTGAGAGTCTCAAAAACTATTTTAAAGATTGATGGAGGAAGGCATCAGATTTTAACTTTCAGCATCCAAGAGCTAACACACAGGCAGGGACCCTCCTCAGGCCCCAATACAAACACACACACAATACACACACACACATGTATCACACACATGTGCATGTACATGCTCACACAGGCACATGAGTACACTCACACAAGAACACATGCACATGTTCACACACACATACACAAACACACATGGGCACACAGGCATGCACACATATAAACACATGCATAAAAGACAAAGAAATTAATCAGGTAAATTCATCACTTCAGAATCTATCAATCATCAAAAGCTAAGACTAACACATATCTGAGGTAATTGTTTCATATCCAATACTGATATAGTTTCTCTCCAACCAATAAATTGTAAAGGTCATTCTCTGAAAATACCCTATTTATAAACAATATCAGAAAATTATTGTATGGTATGTGTTTTCCATGCAATTATTATTATTATTTCACAAAGAACCAAAGCATTTTATTAAACATAGTAGGAAGTTTGTGTTAACTATTACATATGTACACACTACAACATAGATATTATTTCATCAAACACTAGTTAGTACCATTAAATTAGTCATGAGAAAAATAAATTAACAAGGGAAAAATATCACCTTTACTGTAGGATGAAAACATGCAAATGAAGCTACAGTTTCATGAATGTTTCATACAATATGTTTACAATCCTGAGTTTTAATTTTGCTGGAGGGAAATATTTAGAATGTTTGTTGCACAATGTGTGAGTACACTTCGTAGTGATGTCTGTGAAGTTCAAAATCTTTGACATTGCCATTTTTGTCTTCTGTATGTTTTAATGCCATAGTTTTAAAAATACCTAGGAAAACTTTAATTTCTATTCTCCTAGTTTTTTCATAAAGGTATCATAAGTGATTTTTCAACAACTCATATTTTGTCATGAAGCAAATTCTCTTCTCAGGAAATGGAAGACTTTGTTCAGAGTTCTGGAGAGCATGGTGTTGTGGTGTTTTCTCTGGGGTCAGTGATCAGCAATATTACAGAAGCAAAGGCCAACACAATTGCATGGGCCCTTGCCCAGATTCCACAAAAGGTGAGATAAAGGGCTGCCTGGAGGTGACTGTACACTAAGTCTGTGAAAGTGCTTGAAAGGTGTGATTATAGAAATCACTGTGTGACAGGTAAAGTTTTAAGTAAGCTCAAATTAGTCTTAGAAAATTTAGAAATATATTCACAACATATTCATACAATACTACAGAAGGTGCTTTCAACTGAGAGTGACTTGCATATAAACACTGTGATTACTGTGCACACATTCTGAAATGCTGGAATGATAACATTGCTATAAATTGTATATAGACATAGCCAAATTCTTCAGTGTCACTTTATTATTTCTTGATTATTTAAAGTAATACATTAGATTTTTAATGGCTGTTATTTAATATTTGTGGCAATAAACAGGTATTGAAAAAGTTTGAAATGTAGCATGACTCTGCATCCTAATTTTGGAGTAGGCCTGTGCAGTGTGCAGTGAGAGGGCCATTTAAAGGAAGAGAGTCCAAAGTCACCACTCTCAATCAAAGTACACTTTTGGCTGATTGAGACAAAGAGAATGAAAAGAAAAGACTATGTTCTGGACTGCCTTGCCAATGTTTGTATAAGAAATGTATAAAGGAAGTACAGAGATGGGTGCTTCCCTGACAGTGATGTCTGTGCATCATAAATGCGGAAATGCAGGGCTTGCTTGGGACCAGTCAGAGTGAAAGTCCTACCACTCAAGGAAGAAATGTGAAAATAAGAAAGAGTCCAAAGGAACCTAAAGTTGAAATTGACTAAACCTAAAGTTTCAGGTGACTAACTTCATCAGCATACTACAAAGTAATTTTTTATGGATTAGATTAAATTGCTTGTCAACATTTGCAAATTTCATAGTGGAACAGTCTCTCGTTAGTCACCTCCTTTAATTTTTTGATCCTATAATTAATTTTGTTAGTCATTCAGCAAATCCATGTTAGCCATGTGGATAATGGTCCATTTATTGAGATATGTCTGAGAATTCTAATATTAGCACCTACCATAGTCCAAGACTTGGAACTAGATTTTCCATCTCAGATCTTTCTGGCCTCGGCAATAAATCTTTGCAGTTTGTCATAAGAACTACATACCAATCAGTAGGACATAACAATTTTAGAACTCTCTGACAAACCTCATAAAAAAGAGCATTTAGTACATGTGAACATCTATTTGCAACATTCAATGAATTTCTGAGCTAGAGAAATGACTCAGTATATTATATATTTTCAGTGCAGTGTGATCAGCTCAATTTGAGTTCCAAGAAATAAAAAGATGTAACAATGAAAGCAAAAGTTTCCTGTCCATCCATAGTAATGCATAAATGAAAATTTAAAATCTACAGAGTTCTGAAACACTCTTTTAAACTAATAAGTTGTTAGAGGCAATAAAATACAGCAAGGATGAAATCCATATCATTCTTGATATTGTGTCCTCCCTGATTTAGTAGGTGCTCAAGAAGAGTGAGGTACGCAGTTAGTATTTTATGGCCTTTATGATGTAAATGAATCCATTCTAAATATTCATCCTGTTGTACTACTAATGCAGAAATATTAAACTACACAAAATATAGATGTCCTATGATATTTTATTGAAAGAGAAATCACTTACTTGAAAAGCCAAGAAAACTGAGAACCAAAGGTCTGCACTCTGCTCTCCAGGTCAAAACCAAAACACAAAGAAAGGGAGTCTTCTCCCCTTAGCTGTATTTATCCCCCGTACATTCTATGTACCGGTGAACACACACTCACAGGAGTGGTTAGTGCTACAGATATGTAAAATCTCACCTACAGTGCTACATAACTGTAGGAGACAATTTAGTGGTGACAATAAATAAGTTTAAAGGTAGACAAGGATCTGCCCAACACACAAACACCTTTTTTAGTTTCTATTCAAAAATCAGTTTTTTTTCTTTGCATCTCAAGAAAAATTAAAGGCTATCTAATTCTGTCTCTCCTGTCAGAGTTTTAAATAGATTATGTAGGGTATAATTAGGTTTTTCCAAGTGGTATGTTGATAATTAATAATCCCTAATAATTTTTGAAAGTCATTGAGGGTTTTAAAATTGTCTAATGGACATTTGCGTGTTGAGGCACTTTTGCACTTGGCAGTTGCTCTAGTACCTAGCTGCCCCAGATATTACACAGTGTCTGATCATTGTACTTTGTCTTGTGTAATAATAAGCCCACTTATATAGGGATTGTAACTCTTTCTCTTTGAGGGTGACTAACCTATATCATCTATATAATGAGTAATATTAAATGAAAAAAATTAATAAAAGAAACGGGAAGGACATGATTGCTTCTATGCATGGTGGAGGAGAAAGTTTATTATACATATATGAGAGAGAATAGCCAGAGGCAGGGACAAGGACATCTGGGAGTGTCCAGAGAGTTCATGACAGACTGAGCTATGTCTTATGAGGACAACAGAAGAGAAGGGAGAGAGCAGAGAGGAGACCAAGGTGAAGAAGCCAGGAGGACAAATACACAAAAAAGAATGGGTAACAAAATTGGTTGCATTGTATCAGAATGGCAGGCCAGAAACCTGGGTCAGAGAGTTCAAAACAGGGTGCAGGGTTTGCCAGCCAGGAGAGTCCTGTAACTGGTAGGAACTGAGGGACACAGGGAAAACCTGGCTTTGAATAGTTAAATAGGTACCTTCCCTTTGTCCTAGGTTTGAAACTTAACACATATAAGCCCTAGGAAGTCCTCTCTCACATGCTCTAAAATCTTTCCTGCATCGTACTGATACACAATAAGGGATTTTGTCATGCCTTGAGGATACACAGTCCACTGATATTAGAGCTGAAATTCTTTATGATTGAGTGAAAGAACAGAAAAACCAAAAATTAGCTTGTTATCTATATGAATGTGTATAGTATAAAAGCAATCTTTCTTAAATGCAAAACTATAAAAGGCCAATATTTAACAGGGCTGCAAAGCTCCCATTGGCCACATGGTGGCAATAACATTTCATAAATCAATCAACCATCTCCATTTGTCAGATTCTTTTTAATAATGAAACCAGAAGGATTCCAGGGAGATGAAGAGGGCTCTATGTGCCCATTCTGCACTGTTTTCTGACGACCTTGTAAAGAGTCCATACCTTTCTTTAGAAATAGGCTTGGTTGCTTGATTTTTAGAGAATTTTTGGCCCCTATGAAATTCCCAAACCCTGATCATGTTCTTGTCCACATGGGAATGTAGATTTCATAATCATTTGTAATTTTTCTAGTCATTTTTATTTTGAAAGCCCAATCTTACCCTTAGCAATCATCGTAATTGATCATTAAAAGTGAGAATATGTATTTCTGCATGAGCGTGTATTAGAAAGTCTCTTCCCCAAATATTAATCAGAACATGAGTAACATAAGGCTGGAGGACTTCCATTATGCCTTCTTGTGTCATACATTGAAATACTGTAGCATTCTGTTTCTTCTTGTTAGAGCTCATATTTCCAAACCCTATCAGGGTTGAATTTGCCACTCATAATAGACCATTCTTCCATCATTATAATAGAAATATCAGTTCTAAAACCAATTGATCTTATAAACATTTTTCTTCTTATTCTTTAATCCAGTAATGGTTTATTATTTTTCTGTAGTAAGGGTCTTCAGCCCACAGTCATATTTGTTGTACTGAAGCCTCTCTTATGACACCTATTTCTTCATGAAGGGACTATATACAAAATAATAATAACTGGAATCTTTTTTTCTCACATTAAATGGCCAATTAGTAGGCACTGTGATCATGACATCAATGATGCCTGCATGAACTATGATTCCTTTCATGTATAAACTACTGCAAGCCGATGGAAGTCCACCTATTTGAGGCAGTATAGGTCTCCAGTATTCTGTGTGAAACTTGAAAGGATACTGAAAGAGGAAATGGCAATACTTTAAAGCAAGGACTATCAATGGCTGTACTTCCTTGAGTGACACCTTGTAACAAAAGAATAGACATGATGGGGGAAGTCCTTCTGTGTATATGTCTCACTTATTGGCTAATGAATAAAACACTGTTGGCTGGTAAGGAAGCAAGCTCAGTGGGACTAGGGGAGAAGGAGGATTCTGGGAAATGTAGTCAAGAGAGTCACCATGTAATCCCAGGAAAGAGAGAACGCGTCAGGATGCTGTCCTTGGAGAGATAAGACTTATAGAAATATATATTACTAGTCATGGGTTAATACTTAAGACAGAAGTAGCCAATGAGAAATCCTGGACATTGGCTGGCAGCATTATGACTGATAGAGTCTCTGTGTGTTATTTTCGAGGCTAAAGCAGCAAAGGGACCCAGGCAGGAACTCCGCAAAATAGATTGAAAACAATCTGAAGCTGGCATAAATGTTATTCTTTTCATTTTAAAACCTTTAATTTTGTGGGGCCTTTAGGGGACCCCTCATTTGTTGACTGGCACTGCCATTGTTGTTAGGCAATGTATTTCAATCCTTATCATATTTAGACAAGCATTTCTTAACCCAGTGTTTTTCTTTCTTGCATATAGATCATAAGCCAGTAGCACATTGATTCTGAGCATTCAATCATTGCAAGGACAATTTATATTGTTTCTTCAAGTGGCCACTTTGCTAACATCTATTTTTGTACAGCCTAGATTTCTATAGCAGCTACTTTTGCTTTATATTTATAGATCTCCACATTTCTACATACCTGTGGAAAGTTCATAACATTTTCTGTCTTGCATTGAGACTTGATTAATCCATGACAAACTTGACTAGTATTATCAAAATCTAACTGGTGTAATAACTCATGAATTTGTTCCCCCTTTTGCAATAGCATCTTTGAGTCTCCCTAAGAAATTAGCATAATTTCCAGGGGAATTGTGTATATTTTTATGTAATTAGACCCAAAATCATACTCCATATCAATTTCCATTCAGGCAGTGATAAGATAGATATATCCCTAATGTGCAGGAGAGCTGCAGCAAGCATATTGTGCATCTGAGTATCTGTGATAACCATCTATCTACCAGTCCTCGTCAGCATTTCATATGTGACATTTCTAGTATTACCCCTCAGTCCTAGCTGTAGAACTTTTTGTGGACATTATCTGCAAGCCACAGCTGCCACTTATGAATTAGGTGTCATATATAACTTTTATATGACAATCATATGGAAAGTATGGCACATTATTGTTCCAGTAAAATGATACTAATAGCTACATAGAGCACTAGGTCCACATGAAGAACAAACCTTCTTAAAATCTTTCACTATATCCATGTCTAGTCCCTGATAAATATTCTGATTTTATTCAAATTTCAATGGAAATAGTAAGCTCAGTTCAGGAGGCCAGGGAAGAATTGGTAAATGAATTCCTTTTCTCTGCTATGCCTTAGCATGTCTAGATTGTAAAGTTAGCTTTTTTGTAGATGCTCCTAAATCCTCATAAAAAACTAGAGAGACCTCAAGTTTAGATATGAAAATACATTCCAAGAAAAATATTGTGTTTTGAAATATTTAGGTCACAATACTCTTGTGCTGTTTTCATAGAGTGTTCTCTCAAACACTCAGAATTCTCCTCATGTGACTCCATTCCTGGACCATGCTCCAAAATTACCCTATAAAAGGTTACTCCTGGGATGGGTCAGATGACTGGCTCCATATTCTCATTGCCAAAATTATGATATTGTTTCAAAGAACTCCAGATCAAAAAGAATTGTTAATCAGGAATATTTGTCATGAATAAATAAAGACAAAACTTGAAATACCATGGAGCAAGTGAATAATCATGTAAAGTAAGTTATTTAAATATAATATTAAAACTAGACTAATAGAATTATCAAGATATAATTATATAAATATATAAATTATTAGTAATGTGACAATCATTTGTTTTCATTCCTCCCCCCAAATGCCCTCAAATCCATGCTGTTTTTCATATTCATAGCCTCTATTTTTTCATTAATGTTACATACACATATGCATAAACATTTAAGTTCCTAAATAAATCCTGTTCAGCCTTTATAATTCTAAATTATGCTCCATCAATAAAGATTATCTAACCTTTAACAGGTTCTTTGGAGATTTGATGGCAAAACACCAGATACCTTAGGACCCAATACCAGAGTCTACAAATGGCTTCCCCAGAATGACCTTCTAGGTAAGACTCTGGAAAGAAAACCTATCCTATTTGCCCTCAAAATCCTTTATATTGCACTTAGTATGTGTATTATCTATTTAAGATAACAATTTCTCATATACACTTGATCTTTTTAACACTAATTTTCCCGTATCTACCATGTACTTCATGTGTTCAACCAGAAATTAGTATTTCATAGTCTAAGTCTCAAGTCACAAGTAAATTTGCAAGATATCTGTCTGTATATGTAGTTTCTTCTTGCTTTGAGATGGGTAAACATTAATACTGAGGTTAGGAGTACAAGAATCTTTATGTAGTTTTTATTGTGATGAGAACAGAAGGCAAACTGCAGACATGATGTAAACTAAATTAATAAATCCAATTATTAACAAAAATCTTCATTTGGAAAATATTTTTTTCATTTCCTAAAGATACACATTTCTCATTTCATGTTTAAGACTGCTATGGGGCCTCTTGTAGTGGATCAGTATTTATCCCTAGTATATGAATGGACTTTGAGAGCCCATTCCATATAGAGGAATACTCTATTAGCCTAGACACACAAAAAGCCTAGGGCCTTCTCCAAATTATATGACAGACTGTGAAGATTCCTGGGGAGCAGAAAGGGGATAGAATAGGAGTTGGTGGGGGACAGGGGAGGAGGGGAGGTAGAGGGAACTAGAATTGACATGTAAAACAATCTTGTTTCTAATTTAAAGAAAATATGAAAGTTTAAAAAAAGGGATACCAATTAATATTAATCTAAATTCATCTTATTCTAGGTCATCCAAAAACCAAAGCCTTTGTAACTCATGGTGGAGCTAATGGCATCTATGAGGCAATTCATTTTGGAATCCCTATGATTGGAATTCCTTTGTTTGGAGAACAACATGATAACATTGCCTACATGGTGGCCAAAGGAGCAGCTGTTGCATTAAATTTCAGATCAATGACAAGGTTAGATTTGCTCAATGCACTGGAGGCAGTCATAGATAACCCTTCGTGAGTATAATCTTTTAATATTTGTATTATTTATTTATTGTTTATTTATTTATTTATTATTCATTGTGCTTCTTAATGAAGGCCAAAAGAGCAAGAGATATCCTGAAGGCAAAAATAATTTTAGGTACAGAGACACATTAGGGCATAATTCAGTGTCAAGGCTTTTCCTTTTTGTTATTGTTTTAATTTTCATGATATACTTTATGTTATATTCTTATGTAAATTAGACAGGTCCTAAATGTGCAACCCTTCTACTTCATCCTCCAAACTACTGGGCCCACAAAACATATGCCACCAGCTCTCACCAATTTTTCTTTTTAATTCTTTTAGAAAAGCAACTGATCAGAGTTTTAAGGATAATACAAAATTTAAATAGCCAGCCGGGCATTGATGGCGCATGCCTTTAATCCCAGCACTCGGGTGGCAGAGGCAGGAGGATCTCTGTGAATTCAATACCAGCCTGGTCTACTGAGCGAGTTCCAGTACAGGCTCCAAAACAATACAGAGAAACCCTTCTCGAAAAAACCAGAAAAAAATTAAATAGCCAATAAGTGAAGTAAAATATAACGTTATTGGTGGTAACAAATGTTATACACCTAGAAGCAATAGGAAAATAATAGAAAAGAGAAATATGAATGTTATAAAAGAGATATGTAACTTTTATGGAAGTTGTCTATGGCTAAAAGCTTAAATATAAGTCTGTTTTAGGATAAATTCAATTAGAGAAAACATATTAGAGTGAAGCAAATGAATATTCCCATCATCATTTTTATTTTAAAAATAATCCAAGTAGAAGATCTTTCCTCCAAAAGACTATTTCTCTCCCACTCTGAGCATTACTTAAGTGCCTATGTTAGCCTGACTATTGTCATTCTTTTTCAGATCTTTTTTAGGGACAATTGTTGTTGAAAATGACTATTGGTGACACCATTATTAAGATATTGTTTAGATATACATATTGCTGATACTTTATGATTAAAGCTTGTCAAAGATGCAACTTCACTGCAGATATTTTGGCGCTCTTTGGCTTTTAAAATCTTTCAATCTTCTCTTCTATGATGTACCAGGAAAGCTATTTTTCAAGTAAGGGGCTTTCAAATCAGTTCCAGCTCAAAGGTCCCTGGGCTCTGTTTCTGAATTGCATGCTCTTCAGAAATAGAAAGTTACCTTCTATGTCTGGAGAGTAAGCAGCATCAATAAGCTATACATCTTGGGAGTCTATTTGACAGATGTGTCAAACATCTTAAAAGAGGGTTTCTCGTGTCTGGTGTTGGGTTTTAAGTGATCTTTATCTCTTAGATGGCTCACCACCAGTCCAGATGAGAAAAGATCATTAGCTATATATAAGCTATATATGTATATTCATATGTAGAATTTCATGTGTTTTGGGGAATTTGGATGAATTGTTAATAGTACAATTTTGTGGCTTTTCTGACATCCTTTTTCTTACTTTATTATTTTTGTTCTTTGGTATTAACCCCCTCTCCCTTCCCCAAGGAGTCTCTCCTCCTCCCATTTCGCCACTAGATGAGTTGCATGTTTAATTTTAAGTAATGTAATATGCATATCAAGAAATGAGAAGAAATATACAAGTCTCTCATATTGCTTTGTTTATAGTAATGCAGTAAGCTTCCATTATTACAATAGCTACTTCTGCTACATCAAACTGACATTAGGGTTGATGACTCATGTCTCTATGTTACCTCTATGTTATACTCCTCAATAATTATTTCACTATTAGAATCAAATGCACCTACAATATTTCAGTGTGGAATTTTTGCAGCTCTTACTTCTACAATTACAATAACAAAAAATGAATATCAACAATCACAGCAAAAATTAGTCTTGAAAGATGGCGGAGTGGGTAACGTAAAATCTACTCTAGCAGAGGACAAGTGTTCTTTTCCCAACACCCACACCAGGTGGTTACCAAAATCTGTAACTCTAACTCCAGCATATCTCATAATACACAGACACTCACAGACACACACACACACACACACACACACACACACGTATTTATGAACACATATATATTTAAAAATTATAGCAAAATTGTATTGTGAATCTAATTTACAATAAGGATAGATATTCCCAGTACAGTAATAGAGAAGAAAGATACCTTTCCTATAAATGTCATTGAGTAGGTGATAACCTACATGAAAATACATAAAAGTTATGGGAAACAGTAATCATAACTAAAGAATAAGAACCAGGAAACTTTTGTAATTATAACCACTACCCATAGATAGAACTCCATAGAAATCTCATTTCAATCTTCATCAGCTTTACACATATATGCACCACCATGGGGACTTGAGAGGGACTTGCATTCTACTTATACATCATGACTCTAGTATAGCCTTTGTAAGCAAAGTTTAATAATAATTGCTTAAGGGTAACTGAAATTTTATATAATATCTAATTTTGATATTTTTATTTAAGGCTTAGCTGTCTCCAAACTGTACTTCAGGAATATTTCCCAATTTCCTTTTAGATGCTTATTCTTGCATGCTCAAGGAGCTCAGATATACCTCTGAAGGTATTCCTAGTCATGAATGTAAAACATAATTCATTTTCCTTCTATGTTTGTGTAGTTTTCTTTACTATACATACAAAAAATTCACATGGGTATTTTTCATTCATTATATAAGCTGATGTCCATTTTACTTCTTTCAGCTATAAAGAGAATGCTATGTGGTTATCAACCATTCACAATGACCAGCCCATGAAGCCTCTGGATAGAGCCGTCTTCTGGATTGAGTTTGTCATGCGCCACAAAGGGGCCAAGCACCTGAGGCCTCTTGCATACAACCTCACTTGGTACCAGTACTACTCTCTGGATGTGATTGGATTCCTACTGGCCTGTGTGGCAGCCGTAGCTTTCCTTGTCATAAAATCCTGCTTATTCGTTTATCAAAAGTTTGTAAAGATGGGAAAGAAAAGGAAGAATGACTAGAGCTCATTGAGAATGTACTACATAAACTAAATTTCAGCATCATTCTAATTTATGAACTGCCTTCTAAATATTCACTGATTACTTGATCAATGAATATCTTCTCTGGATGGAGTAAAGTAAGGGGGAATAATGGAATTATATTACAATCTCAAAAATGAAAGATGTAATAAAAAGAAAAAGGCTAAGCTAGCTGTAAGAAACAATCTAGTAAACAGAGTTCCTTCCCGGTATCTGCCTCATACCTGTCTCCTGATTCCTATCTTTAACTCCTGACCTATTTTTGCTCAGCAGTGTACAGAGAGCTATGGTATGAAATAAATCCTCACCTTAATCAAATAAAAATGAAAATTTTACAAACTCAAACAAAGGAGGTTAATGGGCCTGGGTCAGGGCAGGCACCACTATGAGGAGCAAATATGTGGTGGAGAAATTAAAAATAGAAGCAAAAGGTAAAAGTCAAAGCAAGTCATAAAGTATGTTATAGTACCAAATTGCAGATTATATTTCAGGAAACTGCAAGATAGTGTGTCATAAAACCATAATCTGTGGCCGTTTAATCAAGTTAATTATAAGTGATAAAAGTGTTTTGATTTAACATTAGACATTGCATTTTACTAACATTTAGATTACTGCCCTAGTGGTTTGATAAGATTTAATACCTGCAGCATAACTCCACTATTTCTTGCCTTGTGTTTCTGATTAGAGCTCACTGTTCTGAGAAGTCAAGTGGAATTAATGTCTTACTGCATTATTATGAGAAGTTGGTCTTAGGGTATGAAGAAGCGATTATGATCTTATGTAGATGAAAATTCTCTGCCTGATAATTCACTCAACTAAGCTAAAAATTTAACACCAGTTCCATTATTTCAGATATACTTCCCTCTCCCTCTCTTTTTGCCTCTCCTACTCCCCATCCCCCCTCTCCCCCTCTCCCCATGATCCACTCCTTCCCTCACCCCTCTCTGTCTCTCTCTGTGTGTCTCTCTGTCTCTGTCTCTTTCTCTCTCTTGTTGCAGACACCTGTAAATCACAAAGTACAAACTCAATGAGTTCCTTTCTTTTGATGCTTATAAGTGCATTGTTGACTATTCATTATTCATGAAGAGCCTACCTCCACTTAGTGACTTCTAACAAGATCTTGACAATCTGTATTCCTTGAAAGCTAAATTTAAGCTAGCTATATGGAAGGCCTGATTGTGTTTCCATTCTTGTATTAGATACACTCACTTGATTATTTGTCTACTGTTTTACTATTCAGTTGCCAGGACTGGTTTACTCTTTTAACATAAAGTTATATGTTCATAAGTTTTGTGATTTCTGCGAGTTTACATGGTGTCATCTCTCTAACTAGTATAAATGAATGGTCAAGGATGCTGCTTACCCCTTTGAGTTCAGAGACATCTACATATTTCAGTGAGCATTTATACATTATTAATATAAGGAATTTAATTTAAAATAGTGTCTTTTATTAAGATATATATATAGTGTTCTTGTTATATGTCTGGCTGTATGTCTTTATTTACAACAAATAAGTATGACCTAAAATTCCTGGTCTTGTCCTATGCATTTATTGGGGCATCTTTTGAGTCTAATATCTCATCATTTTTGACAGGGGTATCATAATAATTATTGACATTGGAAATGATTTTATTTTATACAATTTACATAAAATTAGCTCAACAAAATTTTGGGGATGTTCACCAAAGATCAAAAGAGTAGAAGTGACTCCAAGATAAGGAAATATCTAATATCTAATATGTAGGCCTTCCATATCTTATAGTCATATTGTCATCACTTGGCATTTCAATTGGTGAATTATATATACAGATTGAAACTCATGTGGACAACAGCTTTGTTTATGTCTCATACTATTGGCCTATACAGTCATGCTATGCTTATAGGACATGTAGTTACCATGACATATTATATATTATCAGGAAACATGGAACATGGCAAAGTATTGACTAAAAGACATAGCAAATTGTTGCATGATCTCTCCAATAATCATTCACAACATCATAATTCAAACTCCTTTTGGTTACCTAGGATTAATACTCATCCTCTTCCTTAATATGAAAAAGGTTTATTGCTTTCTTAAAAGATTTCGATATGATATGGAAATAACCAAAATGGATATTTCTTTTTGCAGATTTATAATAGTGCTTTGTCTGTACAAAAAATGAAAAATTTAAACAAAAGTTTAAATCATGATTAAATTGGGGAAATCATTAATGTCTTAAAACTTTCACCATTTTCTTTGTTTATAGACTTTATTTAATAGAGCAAAGGTTTTGTAAACAGGCACTCACAAAAACATGCACAACTCTGAAAAGAGACAATGACATTATTATTTGTGGGGATCAAATTAAATCCTGAATGAACTGTGGTACAGACATGGGAATGTCACAGCATCAAGAAACATATCTAATGCGAAAAAAATTTTTATCAGGAAGTAAACTACTGCTGTGATAAATCTGAGCATAATTCTTTAGGAACTGATATGCATGAGGAATAAGGAGGGGTTAGATCAGAATACTATTAATGGAGCTTAATGAGCTATTGGGAAATGGTAGAACAAATGAGGAAGCACAGAATGTATGGAAGATGTCAACAACTGAATAAGAATTCAGAAAGGAAGGAGGACTCTATGGACAATTGGATTATGGGCCTTTTAAGTTGTATTTTGGTAAGGAATTTGGCTGTATTCTGCCCATGCCCTGAGAAGTTGATTGAAGACAAGTTAAAAAGTAGGGAGCTGATTTATTGGCAGGAGAATTTTTTCTTTTTTTCTTAATTGAAAACAATCTTATTTCACATAGCAATCCCAGTTCTCTCTCCCTCCTGTACTTCCATTCCCCCCACCAGCCCACTATCCTACCCTCATATCCACTTCCCAGGGAGGGTGTGGCCATCTATGGGGAATCATAAAAGTATGTCCCATCATTTGAGGCAGAGCCTAGGTGATCCTCCATGTCTCTAGGCTAAGAGATTATCCCTCCATAGGAAATGGTCTCCCAAAGTTTCTGCACTAGGGATAAGTACTGGTTTCACTGCCAGTGGTCCCATAGACTGTCCAGACCCCCCCAACTGACACCCATGTTCAGGGGGCCTGGCTCAGTCCTATGCTGGTTTCCTAGCTTTCAGACTGAGGTCCATGAGCTCCCACTTGCTCAGGTTAGCTGTTTCTGAGGGTTTCCCCAGCATTGTCTTGACCCTTTGCTCATCACTCTTCTCTCTCTACAACTGGATTCCAGGAGTTCAGCGCAATGCTTGGCTGTAGATCTCTGCCAGAAGAAACTTGAAAACAATTTGCACTCAGGATATGGTATGGCTACCACTCACTGCTTTAATTCAGATCTGCACTGAGATACAACAGATAGTTATGAATGGGAAAACTGTCAAGGGAATGAGTATACAAAGTTTTACATTGCCAACAAGTAGGGTACTGAAAAAGTAGCTATAGTTGCTGAGGAGGCTAACATCATTACAGAGAAACCATGTGCCTTGTACTATTCCTACTTGAAAAGTACTTTTTGGGCGTAATTCACCTATTGAAAGATCTATCTCATGAAAATTCAAACAAGGTAGAAAAGAAAGAACCCAAATTAAAACTATTGTACAAAGTGTTCACTCTCAGAAACAAAAGCCCAATAAATTGTATTTAGCACATCTCCAGATACAACCATTTTCCAGGGTGACTGGGGCACATACTTATCTCTCCTCAAAATTTAGCAGCATCATTCACATAGTGGTGGTTTTACAGACATGAAAGATAAAATATCAAGATGATCATGAAGGCATCTGCTGGACTTACTTGCCTCAGACAGGATGGGAGCCTATGATAGAATATCCTGATAGGCTTCTTGCATGATACTGTTAAGGAAAAGCCTACATTAGAATGGAGATACTATGCTATTGGAGATGCCAGGACCATGGGACATCCACTGATAAAACCTATATGTACAGAGTATATTACAAATAACATAAAGGTCCCTTATCCACCATATCCAATGTCTCCACTCAGCCAGGTCATGAATATCTTGTGCCAGAGTCTAACTATAGAAGTCTATCAGATCCTTCCATAATGCTCTACATATCTGACCTGGGTTCCATATCCAGTACCCTGAACTTGTCTAGACAACCCTGCTTGCCATGCCTACATTCTCTAGGCTCCACCCTAGACCAACATCATCCATCAACATACAGCTGTCACATACTACCACTTAGTCAAATAATATACATTCAACTCAGCACCTCTTACAAGAGTGTCCAAAATAGGCAAAACACTGAGATACAAAACAAATGTTATCAAATTCAGAAAGATTAAAATAATTTTCTGTGTCTTATATGAAGGATAGAGAGAGAAGAGGGTAAAAAACAGTAAGGATATCTTTGCCTAAAGTTACACATAATTCATATAAGTCTATGTATATAAATATATGTAGACAGTTTAAATGAACTTTTCCTACCTGAGTTTAAAAGACTCCTACAAGAACCTTATACTGGAAACAAAATCCTGATAATATGCATGAGAATTCACCTTTTGTGTTGGTGCTTTGGGTTGTCCAAAGGAATCCCAAAACATGACACGTTATTGCAATTGATTGTGGTTGCTCCCAGAGGTAAAAGATAAGTTCATATTGCTAAAGACACCATGTACTTCAGACAAAGGACGCACAGGAGCTTCGCTAAATCTGACCTGAAAGACTCCTTCCTGATTACTAGCCTTCCTGGTAGCAGTATATGTCAGATAAGGGAGAGGGAAGATACATCATAGCCCTATCTATGATGTCTCTGAACTATAACAATAACTAGCATGGTATAATAGCCCTAAGTGTGCATTAAAGGCACCTGTATACTGGTAGTAACCACAAGCTATCTAATTGAATTTAAGACCCACTCAACAAGAGGGAAATCATGTCTGGTACTGGAAACCTAGCTAACTATATGGAGTGATGATGTCATTGATCTTCGAGGAGAACTTACAATGAAATTTACTAAATTACCATAATTCCTAGCTGCATTCTAAATATTTATTCTTATATCCACATATAAGAGAAGTGTTCATCTCTCATTAACAGGAAAAAAGAAACTTTATTTGCCAGAAACAGAGACCATACCGAAAACTACAACCAGTAAAAATACTGATCACACATCATTGTCTGGTGACCAGCTCCTACTGACATATCTATAGCATATTACCTACACCAAAGGCTCAGGGAAAATCA